ATACAAAATCACAAGAAAAAAAAAAAAAAAAAAAAAGAAAAAGAAAAAAAAAAGTCACAAACGCAAACACACACCAACACAACACACATATCTCTATCTCTCTCCGAACGCGTGGGGTTTGGAGAGCGCTCTCTGCCTCCTTAATGACATTCCGTGTCTTCCGGCGACCATGCCCGCCTCCTCAGCGCCGCCGGCTCACCGCCCTGAAGACCTAATCGCCTTCCTGAGCTCCGCCGCAGACGACTCCAAGCTCAAAGCCCTAAGGGACCTCAAGAATCAGATCATCGGCAATCGCACCAAGAAGCTCTCCTTCATCAAGCTCGGCGCCGTCCCCATCGTCGTTTCCATTCTCTCCTCCTCCGCCGATGAGGCCGCCGTCGACCCCTCCACTTCTCTCCTCGTTCAGTCCGCTGCCGCCATTGGAAGCTTCGCCTGCGGCCTTGATGCCGGCGTCAAGGCCGTTCTCGACGCCGGAGCTTTTCCTCACCTCTTCAGTCTTCTCTCCCATCCCAATGATAAGGTAATTTTTGGTTATTTGACGTGCTTATGCCGAGAAAATGTGAAAGAAAGAAAAAAAAAAAAGGGGAAATTTGTTGGTCTCTAAAAGATTAATCAACTCAGCCGGTCATATTAGGGCACGAATTCTCTTTTCCCTAATTTTCAGTTAAGCTAATGAAATCATGATTTACCTATTATTCCATTATTCAAGCAAATAGTTCACCCCTTTCACAATTTATTGTATTAATTTGATTTGTTTTGGGGGTGTTTGGGTTTCAATGTTCATTTATTATTATTATTATTATTTTATAAATAAAATCACTGGCTTGGTTATCAAGAGGTTTATAGCTCGTAATACACAGTAGAGTTCAAGGGCATTGTAACAGCATGTGTGTTGTCAATTTTAGTGGACAATAGACAAATTTAGAAGTGGAGGCTAATGGAAGAATGGACAAACATTAGGGATACGTGACACTGAATTTGATTATTATTTGATGAGGAATACATGCAAATTGCTTTGTAATGATTTAAGTGTGTTTATATATTAAAATTAACCATTTGAGTGTTTAAAATGAGCTTGAGATAGATGAATGACAAGGAAACGTCAAAGTGGACAATCGAGGAGAAACTTGGAGTAGTAGTTGAGTAACTACCGTAGGTCCGTAGTGATGTGATGACAGAGAACCATATACATTATTTGGTTACTATTCTTCTTTCCTCTTTCACATGGTTGTTGTTTAAATGAATAAAGAAAAAGTGATATGCAAGAAATTTTACAAAGAAGACCTAAAAATGCTTTGGTGCTGAAATGTGGGCTGTTCTAGGGCTCTTAACAGTATACCAAGAACAATACTTTTCCTATTTGGTGTAGGGTTTGGTTGTTAGAGTTAAGTCTTGATGTAGGGATTGATTGGGCTGGATAAGGGATGATCTTAGGGCTGAAAACAGTAGCTTTAAAAGTCTGGAAGATTAAGCAAATCCCTCACAAAAGACAATCACAAAATTTCCAAAACTCGACTCCTATTGAGTAGAAAGATTATATGTATATTTGTAAGTTATGATTTCATAATTAGGAAGGAAAAAAAAAACAAAAAAAACAATTAACTAGAATATTCAAGGCATAATAAAGACTCCATAGAAGACCTAACAACATAATTTTGACCTATAAGAAGACCCATAGGTGATCTCAACAATCAAAGTCCAACAATTTACATAATTACGAAAATTCCACTAACTACGAAAACAAAATAGAAAGTTATTAAATCTGTCCAGCAACATTCTAATGTATAAAATACATAAAAAAAGATTCAAACTAACCCTAAACATGATTGATTAAATAAAGCACTGGATGTACTCCATGTGAAATTTCATATTTGCCCTTCTCTTCTTTTCAGGCTCATCATCATTTTTCTTGTTCCTTTTTAGGAATGCCATTTGAATTTTGTGTCTATTCTGCAGGTTGTGGACGCTGGCGCTCGTTCCCTTAAAATGATTTATCATTCGAAACTGGCTCCGAAGTATGATTTTCTTCAAGAGAAAAACATGGAATTTCTTCTTTCACTGTTGAATAGTGAAAATGAAAATGTTACTGGACTTGGTGCAAGTATCATAGCACATTCTTGTGAGACAAGTATTGAGCAGAGCACATTGACCGATGCTGGGGTCTTAAAGAAGCTTGTTAGTCTTCTCGGAGGTTCTTTATGCCAGATACATGGTAGCTTGGAGTCTTTAGCCACAATTATCAAGGGAAATCCTGAAGTCATCTCGAAGCATTTGGGACCTGAAAGTGGAAGGGGATTGAGTGCTGTAACTGAGTTAACAAAGGATAGGTATCCCAGGACAAGATTACTAGCATGCATGTGCTTGATTGCTATAAACAACACTTCTCCTTGCTATCTGCAAGTTGTAGGAACAAAAACCAAATTAATGTTCATATTACTTGAGCTTCTTGATGGTCCTGGTGAAGTTGGAGATGAAGCTGCTTTTGCTTTGTCTAGTTTAATTTCAGAAAAGGAGGACCTACAAAAGTTAGCATTTGAAGCAAATGTTGTTGATAAACTTTGCAACCACTTGCAGAAAGGTTCATTACAAGCCAAGCGTATTCAAGGAATATTGTTGGCATTGGCTGATCTGTGTTCGCAGTTGGAAAGCTGCAGGTCTAGGTTCCTATCATTGCAGGTCTGTTGTTTTATGGAATGTGTAAACTTGCCCATGGTATTATTCATTTGCAGTAGTTTTAATTATTACATATTGTTGTTGTTGTTAGTTAGTTAGTTTATGTTTATTATTATTATTATACTTTTTCTGGTTAAGCTTTATGTGAGTTGATGAAAGTTTTTTCCATAAGATTAAGTGTGGTTTTGGGTGATACTTGTTGTCTCAGGGGGCTTTTGTAGGACGTCGTCAAAATGTTGGATGTTACTTTGGTAGCAAATGAAGTAGTGGAGGATTATATTGGTTCTAATAGAAAGGATTTATTTTTAAGGCAGATTCTGAAAAGACAAAAGAAAGGACCATGTCGAATGGGATTTTTTGGATTTTGTGTTATTTAAAAAAGGTTTTAGAGAGCGGTAGCAAATGGATTAAGGGTGTTTGTCTTCATGTAACTTTTCAGTTGTCAAATGGGAAATTGGGTGATACTTTTAAGGCATCTAGAGGCCTTAGACTGGGTGATTTATCATCCCCTTTTTGTTTACTTCAGTAGTTGATGTGCTAGGCAGGTTAGGAGATTGGGTGGGTTGAGGGTTTTGAGAAAGGTTGGGAAAGGGATTCTATGTTGCATTTAAGAATCATAGATGATTCCATGTTTTTTTCTTTCTATTCAGTGAAAAGAGTAATATGGTTAATTTGCTTTATGTTTTGCAGATTTTTGAAGTGGTTTCAAGGTAAGATGAATTTTCGTAAATAGTTCATTCGTTGGTATTAACATTCTACTAGGTAGATTAAGTTGGGTGGCAAGTCAGTTGGGGTGTGCCATTGAGTCTTTGCCATTTAGTCCTAGATCAGAAAGTTTTTTGGCCTTAGCGATTGAGAGGATTGGTAAGAGGTTGTAAGGTTGGAAAACGACTATGCTATCTAAAGGGGGTATAGATTTACTCTAGTTCAGTTTGTTTTAGCTAGTGTCCTAGATTACTATCTTTCTTTGTTTAGAATTCTGGTTGGAGTGGCGAATAAAATTGAGAATTTGTGGGAGGGAAGTGGTGAAGGGAGAAAAGATCATTTGGTTACTTGGGAGCTCGTCTTCTTTCCTAGGAATAAAGGGGTGCTAGGGATAAATCAAGAGCTCTATGGAGTTGTGCAATTTGTGCAGTGTTGTTGTGGGTGTTATGGCTTGAAAGGACCTCAAGAATCTTTAAAGATAAATAAGAGGACGTGGTGGGTTTATGGTATAGGGTGTGTTAAATCAGATCGACGATCACTTTTTGAGGATGATTGGATGAATTCCGCGGGGTTGTGTTTGAGATCTTTTGCGTCATATATGCATCAGTTATGCCTGTTTGTTTTGATCTATGGTCTTAATTACACAACAATTATATAGATGTTGGTAACCAGATTAGATGGAATATGTAAATCTCAAGCATAAGGAGAACATGTTAAAGGCTGATCAAGATGTATTAGGACCCCTAATTGGTGGGAATAAGCTTTTAGGTTGCGTTTTGTAAATATGATTTGATAGTATGAGTTGTATTTTGAGTTTGTGAGTTTTGGAATTATGATTTGAGTGTGGAAAGTTTGTTTGGTGAAAGAGTTTTGAAAATAGTTTTGAATTGAGTGGGAAATTTTTGATGTGACATATGATATTTAATATAAAAACTTATAACTCATAACTAAACATACAACTCAAAATTTTATTAAAGCACATAAAAAAAATTTAAAAATTCGGAAATTTTTTTTTTTCGAATATATAAAAATTAACATATGTCAATTGCAAAAAAAAAAAAAATTGCGCCGTTCTGGTCAATCGGCCGGACGACCGGTGAGACGTCTAGTGGGATATCTGGTGGGACGACCGGTTAGGCCAAATTTAAAATAAAAAAATATTTGAAAATCGCGCCTCAGACAGAGTTTTGTGCAGAGTTTTGTAAATATTGTGGAAATGTGATTTGAGTGTGGTATCCAAACATCATGTTGGAATGTGGGGGTAGAAATATAGTTTGGAAATCATTCCGAACAGAGCCTTAGTATTTTATTGGAGTTTTGTGTACAGTAAAGATCTTTTTGTCAGTATTTTATGGGGATTCATATTGACTTTTTTGGAAAGTAATATAAGAAGTATTGGAAGCCAAGAAGCATGCTTGTAGTCTAAATCTAACATCAAAGCTACTCAACATGAGTATAAAACTGCAAAAAGCTACAACTGGAGGTGCTAAATGGTTTGACTGCATGGGCGGTTTCTTGTATCCATTAGTGCTAAAGAACTTGGTTAGGAACACATATTTTTAATATTTAACATTGTTGCTCTTGGATTTCATTCTTCTATCTCTGAACTTTTGTATATTTATTTTTTTGCTAACAAGAAAGGTTTTGTTGGGTCCATTTATGCAGTTGCTTACTTCCTATATAAGCAGTATCACTTTCCTTCTTCTTCTTTTTTTTCTTTTCCTTTTCCTATTGTGTATTTTAAAGCCACTGTCTTTTTGCCTTTATATATATATATATAAAAAAATGCCTTTTGTCACACCTCATGAATGCCTTTTTTCCCTTGTTTATATTAATATTTTAATAAAAATGGCTTAAAACTAAACAATGGCTGAGCTTTCCAAGGGCTGAACTGAAGCAGCTACAAATGAATAAAAAATAAATAAAACTAAACAATGGCTTAAAAAGGTATAACACAGTGGCTTAAAAAAAACTTAAGACACTGGCTTTAAAAAAATCTATCCTCACTCTCTCTCCCTCTTTCTCTGTCTCTAAAAAATGCAGAACGGTGGCTTACAAAGGTAATTACGAAACAGCAGAAAATATATATATATATATATGAAATGCAAAACACAAACTGAGCATAGAAAGAAACTTGCAAGTTGCATAAGTTCTATGGTTGCCCACTATTGTTAAAGTTCCACCCAAGAATATAGTGGTTGGTTACTAGTAAATAGTGCAGTAGAAGAAGAAAAACCAGCATACAAAGAATCCAAAAGAATTGAAGAAATATTGATGTGTTGACAAAAGAGGTTGGTCTGGTTTTGGACTTCGAATAGGAGCAAACAACTCAAGGCGAACAACAGAGCAACAACAACAAACAGAACCGGAAGCAACAAAACAGAAACAGAGCATAAAACAGAGCACAATTTCATCCGTACCGGCTGTATCGGAACTGTATCGCTCCATGTATCGGATTCAGGCCGATACGTATCGGGAATCGGACGATACGGCTGTGAATTTCACTCCCACCGGTATACCGGTCTATATCCGAATCGGCGGTCCAATTTTCCGGTACGAATCGGCCGGTACGGTACGTACCGGCCGATATTTAGAACTATGATATGGAGTTCTTCTCCAATGAAATTTCAATTTTTGGCGGCCATTTTATTTCGTGCCCAGGATAGATACATTGGATATGCACACTACATAAGTAGCTAGCCATTCATCCATATCCAATGACTCCAGGGTTGAAATTTTTTAATGTGAAGCTACTTGAGCCTGGTTAATTAAAGGAGATTGAGCCTGGTTAATTAAAGGAGAAACAACATAGAAGCATGCACCCTTAATAAACCATAATAACTCCCCACCACTTTTGCCTTAGTTTTGGCACTCTAGATATGGAAGGATCCAAAAGGTGTTAAAAACTAATTTTTAGGAAACACTGTTTAAGTTGTTTCCCAAATTTTCAAAAAAAAAATTGAATGATATGAAAACATGGGCGTTACAAAACTTTACAATGTTTTTTCTGTTTTTGAAAATATAAGAAATACAAACGATCAACCACATTTTATTTAAACTTTCATGATCCTGGCTCGAACAACATACCCAATAGGATAAAAAGTACGGTACAAACAGTAATCCCAAACCGTGATGACTGACTGACTGACTGACTAATAGCAGCACATAACCAGAGTCCGGATCCGCTCCTTGAGGAGGGTCCTTCATTTCCTGCTTGCAACGGCTCAGATGAGCCGTTGGTCATCCAACGGCTGAGATTATAAAAAAAAAAAAATCAAAAATGAAATGTTGTCGACTTCCCGCCCAAACAAAACAACAACACAGCTCAGGAGGGATTCACTTTCACTCTCACACAGCACTCTCACTCTCACACAGCACTCTCCTCCGTCGAACCCATCCTCATCCTCACTGGCGAACGCATCCTCACCGACGGCGAACTCCACCGCTCCAGCCTCTACGCTTCGTGAACTCCACCGCGACGACCACCATCGGTTGAGCAAAGATCTCTTCTTCACGAACCAAGTTGGTCTTCGAACAAAGATCTTTTGTCTTCCAACGTCTGAGATTGAGATTGAGATTTGGGTTGGAATTAATATGGACAAGTTAGGGCTTTCAGAATTAGGGATTTTATAATTTCAAAATTAGGGCTTTTTAAAAAATTAGGGATTTGGGTTTTGAAAAATTAGGAATTTTGAGTTTTGAAAAATTAGGGATTAGGGCTTTTAGAAAAATTAGGAATTTCAGAAGTAGGGATTAGGGCTTTTACAAAAATTAGGAATTTCAGAATTAGGAATTTGGGTTTTGAAAAATTAGGGCTTTTAAAATTTGAAAATTACGGCTTTGAATTTCTATTCGAACGGCTAAAAATTTAAGGCTTTTAACGTCTGAAAATTTTTTCAATTTGAGGATGATTTGGTAATGATTTTTTTAAAGCATTTTCAGACTCTCTGCATTGTTCATCTATGACTGATGATTGTTTAAGAGAACGTTGATAAATGGTCATCTTGTAATTTCATAACTTTGAGACTATGCTTTGTTCATCTATGACTCTGTGCTTTGTTCATCTATGACTGAAAATTTTGTTCATGAATGAAAATTGAAGCTCATCCAATTGGTCTTTTCATGGAATTCTTTTCCAGTAAAACTTTATTTTCTTGAACCTTTTAATTACGAATTTGAAAAAATGTAGTGTTTTCTGAGATAATATGCTAACATTGTATTCATAGGTCTGACCATCTAAAGTTTTCCTGATAAGCATTGAGGGAAATCATTTTTCTCCAGCATATTCTTGATTTATTTTGTCTTTGCTTTGATTTGACTTGATGCTTGTGAATAGTTGAGATTTATTGTGAAAAAAAAAGGGGAAATTACCCATAGGTCCCATGGGAAACATGTGATCTCCATTTAATCCCATAACTTTTTCACTACACCCAAAAGTCCTTTCCTCTCTCTCTCTGCTTTTTGCTTCCCTTCTTAAAAATTCATGGTAAAAGATTGAGTGAATAGAATACATCATTTTGTTCAATATATTTCACTGCAAGTATGGTATAAGCCCTTTTTTTGGATAAAATAAGTTGAAAATTTTTCTAGTCAATATTGCTTTAGTTCTTTTATTTCTGGTCAACGATGGAGTGAAAGAAGTCATTTTCCATATTGGTCTTGTTTGCATCTATTAACATCAAAACCAGTTTGCATTTGTCATGTAACCAACCCACAGTTCTGATGTTATGTAACCAACCCATAGTCCATACATCTGTTATGTAACCAACCCATAGTCCGTACAATTGCATCTGTTAATAACCATGTCTATGAGAACCAGTTTGCATCTGTAACATCAGAACCAGTTTACATTTGTTATTAACAATGTCTTCAATCTGTTTGCATCTGTAACATCAGAACCAGTTTGCATGGAACAATGTCTTCAATCTGTATGCATCTATTATGTAACCAAAGCAGAACCATGCAGAGTCAGAAGCATAGCAGTTTGCATCTGCATCTGTTATGTAACCAATCCATAGTCCATACAATTGCATCTGTTAATATCCATGTTTGCATCTGTTAACATCAGAACCAGTTTGCATCTGTAACAATGTCTTCAAGTTGTTCCTATGGGACATATTATTAGAACCAACTTCCATTAGCAACATTAGCACCAACTCCCATTAGCCTTCACACTCTGTCCATTAGCACCAACTTCCATTAGAACAACTTCCATTAGCCTTCACACTCTGTCCCTCTCCTCATGTATGCAGATTTAAAAAATGGCTTCTTCTTCTAACATTAGCGACATAAGATTAGTACCGAGAATGTGCAATTGTGGAAGAACAGCTGCCATACATATTGTAAGAACCAACGAGAATGGAAATGAAGGGTGTTTGTTCTTTGTTTGCCCATTGAAATATGTAAGTTGGTAATTCTAGCTATTTTCTTCCTTTATTAGTCACATTAATATTTGTCTTATTGAACTAATGTATTCGCATGCATTGCAGAGTAACACTCCCACTCACCATTACAATTACTTCAAGTTCGTGTCTGAAGATGATGAAGATGTTACGTCCAGAATCCGTTCCAACAGTACAGCTTCTGCTGGTATAACAATAGAAGACTTGAACGATGTAAGGATGAGGCTTCATTACATGGAAAATGACTATGGTCGAAGGCTGCAAAGGATGGAAAATAATATCAAAAAGATGGTGTACTTCATTGTATTTTGTATCATTTTGTACTTTATGATGTAACTTTTTGACTTTATTGTATTTTTGGGAAACTTAATGGAAGTTTGTATCCTTTTGGGTTTTATGTACTCCAACTTGTTATCTATTATCTGTTATGGAATGAATTTTGGGGAACATTAAACTTCTTATCTGTTATGGAATGAATGATGGAATTTTGGAATGAATGATGGAATCAGTATGCCAATCTCATTTTGGAATGTTGGAATGAATGATGAATGATGGAATTTTGGAATGAATGATGGAATGTTATGTTATGCAACTATAATATATGAGGTCAGCATGAATGCTTCAACTGTGTGCAAAACCATGAAAGGTATTTTGTCTGCTGATTCTGTTCTTGTTGCACAGGCAGATTATGATTTATGTACTGAATGCTTCAATAATGGGAAGCTTGACTCTGGATGGTCCCCGACGGATTTCATTCTCATGGAGCCTACTGAGGTTGCTGGTGTAAGTGGTGGGAAGTGGACAGATCAGTAGACCCTTCTCCTCCTTGAAGCATTGACCCTCCTTTTACCCTTACTAGTTGCCACCTTTTTCTTCAATCCTTTTGGTTGCACAACATGATTCACATCTTCGCATTCCACTTCAAAGCTTTGGGTGTCATCATCATTACGTACTTCATTTCCAACACCAAAATGAGCACTTAACTTGCCTTCAACATCTGCACCTAATGTAGCAAGGTGTGCAATACAAAAATCATAAGTTTCTTCAGTTTCAGCAGCTCTACTTGCTACTGCTCTAAATGCGATCATCAATGTCTTATACCGCGAGGCTTGTTGGAATTTTACATCTACTTCAATGTCATTTTCCTTAATGTGCTGCACAGTTTCGTCTCTTGCTTGTTTGGTCCACCTCTTTAGAATGTATTGTGGAGGAACCTCTTTCATCTTCAATACGTCTCTAATGACCTTCAATGAGTGACAACACAAGATTCCTTCCCTTTCAAACTTTGTACAATTACAACCCAAAGAGCCATCCCTCTCCATCTTCACTTTTCTTGCATGTTTGGTACCAACATCAACAACTGTGTAAATGGTACTAGTCTCGCCATATTCAATTGCTTCTATGTCCGATTCAATGGATTGAAAGTACTCATTTTGAAATTCCTCAAAAATCTTTTTTGTGTAGACGTTACCCATTTGAATTAACATTCTTATTGTTGCTTTGACCTTTGGCAACCTTTGGCACAAAGCATAGCCTGCTTCTAACTCCTTGTATCGCTTCTCGTAAAGTACCCTTTCAAAATGCATGAAGAATTCATTTAAGTTGAAATCAGAACGAATGTAATCCTTCAAAAAAACATTAAAAGATTCACTAAATTGTGTGGTACTTATTCCCGCAGCCCATGTTGATCTAACATAAGGCCATCCCCATTTTTCTTTCACCGCAAAAGTCAATTTCAACCAATGGTTTTCATGCGCATCATATTTATCAAGCATTTCCGCCCACTCTAACTTCCATTGATTTGCATCTTCAATGTGAAAGAAGAATTTATTTAGTACACCCTTCACCCCCTTATCTTAGAACAAACAGTTAACATGTTTTAATGCATTTTGCATTAAATATCAAGTACACAATCGGTGACTTGTGTCAGGCATAACGATGGGTATGGCTTTAGCCATTGCAGCATCTTGATCGGTAAACAAAGTTTTTGGTGCCTTCCTTGTGTCACATACCGACTCATTAGGGATGCGAGTTCTACACCAAGCACCTTGCAAGCGCAGTAGTTTGTGAGCGGCAAGGCAGGCAGGGTAGATCCCTATCGCATCTCCTGGGTTGGTCCTTGGGCATAATGCACGAGGGTACGCAGTACCACTCGTGGAGCCGGCTTCTCGGGAGGATGACAAGCGCCCAGTCCGTGACAAGTGGTATCAGAGCCAGCCTAGGGGCACTGTGATGGGGGCGGTACGTGGGACTTACACCAAGCACCTTCATTGTGGGGTCCGCACCAAGGGTGATGTCCGCACAGGACGGGTTTCCCGTGGGTTGAGGAACGGACAAGCATGGGGGCAGGTAGGGTAATGTCCCCCTGACGAGGGCGTCAGGGACTGGCGGTGGTAGCATGTCACGTACAGACTCATTAGGGATGCGAGTTCTACACCAAACACCTTGTAAGCGCATTAGTTTGTGAGCGGCAAGGCAGGCAGGGTGAATCCCTATCGCATCTCCTGGGTTGGTCCTTGGGCATAATGCACGGGGGTACGCAGTACCACTCGTGGAGCCGGCTTCTTGGGAGGATGACAAGCGCCCTGTCCGTGACACTTGACATAGCCTCTAGAAAGTTTTCAAACAACCATACAAACGATTCGGCGGTCTCATCATACAACAATGCTGCACCAAATATAACTGTTTCCCTATGATGGTTGAATCCCACAAAAGATGCGAAGGGTCTATGTTCTTTGTTTAACTTGTAAGTCGTATCAAATGTGACAACATCACCAAATTGGACATAATCCATGATCATTTGTGCATCGGCCAAAAACATATTGGTTATTTGCTCCTCATTATCTAATTAAGCAGCATAGAAGAATGAAGGATTCTGCAAAGATTTTTCTTTAAAGTATTGCAACACATTGCCTACTTCCCCATATGCTAAACTTTGTTGTCTTTTGGTTCTCAAATAATTTTTAGAATCTAATTTCGTAAAACCAAGACATTGCCTTCCACCAGCTTCCCTACCCATGAGTTCAAAAGACTGGCCTAAACGAAGACCAGATTGTGCCGCTAAATCTAACTGAATTGCTTGGATAGTGGATATCTTTCTTTGTGACGGCAACATGTGGGCACACTCGGGTGATACAAGATCATGGTTGTGTTTTTCTTTGAAATCAGTCACAACATATTTTTCAGTACCCTCATGTAATTTAATATAAAGTCGAACCTCACACCCAGTCCTAGTTTCAGCTCTAGAGTTTTTTGACAATGGGTCTCGCTTGTCAACCTTTCGAAATCCCTCCTTGTTGCAAACCAAAAGTTTATGAATAAGTTGATTAGTGAACTTGTCCTTCCTACAACAATCTCTTCTTATGCTAAACCCCATTCTTCCTCCATATGTATTATAAAAATCATACGCACATTATTCAGAATCAAATATCATTCCCTGTTTTGGCTTCCAATCACAGTCATTCTCAGGTTCCATATCGATATCAAAATGCAACTGAAAACCCATATAAATAAAATCTTAAGTTAATGATAGTTGAGCTTTTTAATAAGATTGCAGGGTTGCTTAGGTTGTAGTGCTATGAAAATGAATTGAAATTGGTTTATAGATAAAATTTATCTGGTTTATAGATAGGACCATATGTCATATAAGAAAAATTACTAGAATTAAGGAAATTGAATTATTAAAAACCAGATTAAATTAATATAGATAGATATTGCTTCATTCAATTATTCATGAGATTCAATATAACACATCTAGACACCAGTTAATAATTACATGACCCATGAGACTGCCATGTCTACAAAAACCAGGAGACATACTGTGATAAGGCCCATAACATTACCCTGTTATGGCAAAACTGAGATAATTTACGAGCCTTTTAACAAAACATAACAATAACAATCAGATGAGTAACAAAAGAGGTAAAACACACCAACTATTTATGGATTTTAATGTAAAGATCAAAATTGAATTCTGTTGTTTGTTTTGCTGGGTTATGACTCGAAGTCATAGCTTAGTGCTATATTGGTTTACTATTTCTAATAAAAGGTAAAACAAAGAGAATTTATTGATTTAATAATAAAACAAAAGACGTAAAACACACCAACTGAGAATTTATTTATTGATTGAATTTATCCAATTTACAGTGTGTTAATCAAATAGCAGAACCTTAGAGAAAAGTTAAAGAAATCATAAAGAGGTAAATCACACCAATTAATGAAAACTTGTATTCGATTTCTGACCTTAGTGTCGACTGTAATTTGTAAAGAGCATCAGTCGAAAGCTTTGGCGGCAGAAGACGTCTTAGGTTCTGAGGAGTTCGCCGTCAGTGAGGATGGAGTTCGCTGTCGGTGAGGATGGGTTTGCCGGTAAGGATGAGGATGGGTTCGACGGAGGAGAGTGCTGTGTGAGAGTGAGAGTGCTATGTGAGAGTGAAAGTGAATCCCTCCTGAGCTGTGTTGTTGTTTTGTTTGGGCGGGAAGTCGAAAACATCTCATTTTTTATTTTTATTTATTTATTTATTTTTATTTTTTTTATAATCTCAGCCGTTGGATGACCAACGGCTCATCTGAGCCGTTGCAAGCAGGAAATGAAGGACCCTCCTCAAGGAGAGGATCCGGACTCCATATAACCAACGCAAAAGTTCTTTTGATATTTACAATCAAGGGCCCAACTAGGCCCATTCCTATCAATTAAACAATCCAAGTTCCACTAGTTTTCTAACAATGTGTGTAGTGGTTTCCGTAACTGTGAAAGATAATTTTAGCCATAGAATTCAATGGAAATGTACAAGAAGAAGTAAACCTCAATAGTTATAAGCAATGAAATTATGGAATCGAGTAGTGAAATATACCACATTTCATGTCGACACGCTCCACCCTCCCGTACTTGGAGAACAATCGCTCCAAGTCTGATTGACGAGTATCGTACTCGAAATTACCACAGAACAATGGCCTCATCTTCACAACTCTGCCCCCAAAAACACCTGCAATTCAAATAATCGAAAAAAACACAGTTAATATACTTGCACATAAATTTTGATGAAATTTTTTTATACTGTACAAACAGTTTTGCATCAAACACAAATTATTTGAAAGCCAAGTCTAGTGGAAGTGTGAAGAAGAAAAGACTACAGCTTCATCTAATACAAAGGAGTGAAACTAACAAAAACTCAAGTAATCAGTTTTGGGGAGCCAGATAGCTGAAATCGAAGCTTTCTACAACTTTCTTTCGCTTTCTAGGCAACCAAATAGACGATGAAGGGTCAGGATAGTACCTTTGAGCTCTGAATCGAGGAGAGAGAAACCCTAGAGAGATAGAATAAGGAAAGGCTTGAGTAAAAGGAGGGTTTTTGGATGGTTTGTTGTTTAAATGGCTGACGAAACAGAGGACGAAAGTTATCAGAGCGTTGCACGTGGTTCTCTCTTCTCCGTCCGATGCTCAATATAGACGATTTTGACCGCAGGATTCAACGACGTGCGTTCTGGCGGTCCGATCATGTGTAAAAATATGGCCTATCTCGCAGACCAAAATCCTTTTAGAAAAATGTTATTTTAGTAATTTTTTTAATTTTTTATAAAAAAATATCTATTCTATATATTAAGTAAAATGAGATTTTTAATTCCAAATTTTGTGGGAGGTCTAATTTTTCAATCTAATTTTTTTTAATTTTTTGATTTAAAAAAAAAATCTTAGCATTTATTAACTTCTCCCAACTCCCAAGTCCTACACTCATAATAACACTTTAATGTATTAAAAACAAACATAAAAAAAATTCTTTGAAATCCAACACATATGAATTTCTTGAAAATTCCCAATACATATGATTATTATCCCTTATAATAACACTTTAATGCATTAAGAACAAGTAAAAAAAATTTCTTGAAAAGTCCAACACATATGATTATTATCAAAATATTAAGCTTTAATATAATATAATAAAAAAAAAGACATTTAATTCCTTGAAAAGTCTAACACATATGATTATTATCAAAATATTAAACTTTAATATAATATAAAAAAGAAAAAAAAAAAGAAAGCATTTAAAAAAAAAAAAGACATTTAAAAATCGCAATTCACATATATAGATAATTGTAAACACAATCCGTGCATAGCACGGGTGATATGTTAGTACTATATATTAAGCAAAAGGGGGTTTTTAAATCCCAACGCCTGTAAGAGCTTCAATATCCCAATCTGAATTTTTAAAATTTTTTATTTAAAAAATAAAACTCAGCATTTATTAATTTGGTCAAAATTCTCTGATCAGCATTTATTAACTTTTTTTCAATCCACATGTCTTTTCACATGCCTGCATTTATTGATTCGATCAAAAACTCCTTATCAGCATTTAAAATCACCTCATACAAATAATTATAGATATAATTCGTGTATAATTATTGCAGTACCCTTTTCAATTTCTCCTATACACTATGGTTAATGATAAGATTGTTAAATTATTTTTATAAAAAGTCTTAAAAAACATAATTTATATATTAAAAAAAATCTAAAACAAATACAAATATCTAAAATTATCCTGTGCATAGCACGGGTGATAGGCTAGTGTATATATATATATATAAGGTATATGATAATTTATAGTGATTTTTTAACTTTTTAACTAAAATTAAAGGCTGTCAAATCAAGCTTAAATATTAACAATTTGCAAAGTTTACTCATATTTTTTATCAAATTCAAATTTGATAAAAATTTAGGCCTTATTTGTCATAATCTAAAAAAGTTAAAAAGTCACTATTCTATTTAAATGGCATCATCTTATTTAAGTCATATTACCTCTCTACCACATCACTTCAAACTCAACCCATATTTCATAAAAAATCAAAAAGTATTTTTATTTAGATTATCTCAAACAACCCCTTAATAAAAATGATAATCTTTTTTGTCATTAAAGTGATATCAAATGAACAAAACGGTAAATTTTTCATCAAATCGAAGAAACGTTTGGGAAATTCTATTTTTACACATCTACTTGTCTCAATGCATATCATTTCTCAGTGCACACACTTAATAATTTGATTATTAATTATTGTTCTTGACATGGATAGGCCCATAAGGCTTACAGCCCACAGCAAACAACCCCAAACCCATCGCTTGAAACCCATAGCATAACCCGGCTAGCAATGCCCAGGACAGCTGGAGGCCATCTGGACATGAAAGGCCAATGACATTCGGGCACATGGCAGGTGAAACACAGGCCACATCAGCAGACAAAGATCTGCAGAGTTATTGCCACAACACATCACCATTAACGCAGCCCATCACAGCATTTATTACGACAACACCTCCCCGTCAGAACAGAGCCCCCTCACCTTGAACAAGGTAAGCTACAGCATAGGCTTTCGACGGAGGGGGGCACGTCGCAAGGGGCAGTGAAATGATTACTAAAGGATATAAGCAAGAATCGAAGACAAAAGGAAGGTTAAGCTTTTCTATCTCTCTCTCTCTCTCTATATTTTTCCTTCTTCCTCTACTGATTTGCTCGCCGGAGGGTTCACTAGGGGACTACCCCGTTCCCCTTTGGACTTGCTTGCAGGTCATCTGGTGGAATCATCCGCCTGGATCGAAACTTGAAGAGCTTGGACCAGCCCGACCCATCCACCCAAGACGAACTGCATCATCAGTTGGCGCCGTCTGTGGGAACTTGTGGTTTATTCGTGCGCTAGTTGTGTTTACTATCGCCGGAGCCCCCTTTTCCCCCCGTTACCTTTTCCTCTCACCCATCCAGGTGTATGGTCACGACTAGATCCATGGCTTCTCACCATAATACCGCCAATCATCAAACAGACCCTCCCCACCCAAACAACCCACCACAGTACATCATCGAACTTACCAACAGCATTAACCGCATGGCTGAGCAAAACCAGGCCCTGATCAGTGCTTTACTCCAAAGAAACCTCCCCGCTCCACCTCCAGATATTCCACCCAACCAAGAAAGAACCCCGGTCCACACTGATCCACAACCCCCTCCGCTCAACCCAGAAGGTTTACAACTTCCTCCTCCTCCACATATGAGCCTACCACCTCCACCCCCATGCCCGTCAGTCGTGGCACTAGCCCTTGAGGGGGAAGCCAGCAGCGTCCAGCCTCCATTGACCGACCATGGCGACAACATTCCCCTCTGGGACGCTGAACTCCGACCTATGAAGCTCCAACTACAAGGGGTCATGCAGAACATTCAGCACAAGCCCTCAATCACCGCCAACTCGCCTTTTGTTGCCTTCATCCGGGACAAACCATTGCCCGCCAAGTTCAAAATGCCCACCATTGACTCTTTCGATGGCACGACGGACCCAGTCGACCATCTGGAAACCTACCGCACCCTCATGATCCTCCATGCTTTCCCTGACGAGATCGTGTGCCGAGCTTTCCCCGTGACACTGAAGGGATCAGCTCGGTTGTGGTTTATCCAGTTACCGGTGGACTCCGTCTCCACCTTTCAACACCTCAGTGACTCTTTCCTGAGCCATTTTATCGGAGCCCAGCGTCAGAGACGACCAGTCACCCAACTCCTTAACATTCGTCAGACCGAAGGGGAGTCACTCCGCAGCTTCGTCACCCGCTTCAACACCGAAGCCCTTCAAGTAGCGGAGAACGACGACAAGGCCATCCTCACGGCTTTCATGGCCGGCCTATGGTCATCCGATTTTCTTTTCTCCCTCTCCAAAAACCCTCCAACCACCATGGCAGCCCTACTATCCAAAGCCCAGAAGTACATGAATGCTGAAGATTCCCTAGCTGCTCGGCAGGAGCCAATCACTAAAAATCCGACCCCCAAAGACAAGAGGAAAGACTCAGAACCCAGGACCGCCCAGTATAATAGCCAAACACCCCACTATAATGACCGACCCCACCGAGCCGACCGGTCGGCTCCGACCCGACCGCCCGGTCGGTTCGAGAGGTACACACCACTCAACTCTCCCATGGAACACATCCTCAATCAAATCCAGCGGGACTACCCCCTCAAGTGGCCTCTGCCTTCACGAAACCCTTCCAATCGGAAAGATCAGTCCAAATACTGCCGTTTCCACCAAGACCATGGCCATACCATCGACGAGTGTATTAACCCCAAAGATCAGATCGAGACCTTCATACATCAGGGCCGCCTCAGCCGATTCACAAACACCCACCCTTAGCAGAGGCAAAGAACCGACCTTCCCAAGAACAATCGCCGGCATGCACCACCCCGGAACCAAGCCCCACCTAACCAAGGCCATGATCGCCCACCGCCACAGCCTCGACCTCCAGGCAATCCCCCTCCACCAGTCGGAGAAATCAGAGTCATTTCAGGCGGCCTTGCTTGCGGGGGACCATCCCACTCGGCTCAGAAAGCAGAGCTTAGAAAAATAAGGCAGGGCTCAGACAAAGCAGTGGCGACGGTGGACCGACCTTCCAAACAGTCAAAACAGTGGATCGAACCCATCACTTTCACGGACACTGACTGTGCAGGAGTCTGTTACCCACATGATGACCCCCTTGTCATTTCCGCCATCCTCTCCAACTACAAGGTCAGACGAGTTCTCATAGACAACAGCAACTCTTCAGACATCATCTTCCTCAATTGCTTCTGCCAGCTCAAGATTGGGGAAGAAAGCTTGTCTCCCCTCCAAACCCCTCTGGTCGGTTTCACCGGCGACCGTGTGACCTCCATCGGCTCCATCGATATACCTATAACCATTGGCGAACACCCGAGGCAGACCACAAAGGTGCTCACCTTCCTTGTGATCGACTGCCCCTCTGCTTACAACATCATCCTTGGCCGCACAGCCTTAAACGCCTTCCAAGCTATCACATCCACCTATCACCTTGCCATCAAATTTCCTACCGATCTCGGCGTCAGAACTGTCAAAGGAGAACAGATCGTGGCCAGGGAGTGTTATGTCGCCTCACTCAAAGAAGTCAAGCTGAAAGAGGCCATGATCATTGAAGGGCTTGACGTCCGAGACGAGGACGAGCTGGTCAGAGGAGAACCTATGGAGGAACTTGTTGAAGTTAACATTGATCTCACCAACCCAATCAAAACTGCCAAAATCGGCAGCCAACTACCTTCCCAAGCCAAGGCCGACCTTACCGCTCTCCTGACCGAGCACAAAGATGTATTCGCCTGGACCCATTCAGACATGCCAGGCATTGACCCCTCCTTCATAACCCATCGCCTCAGCATCGAGCCTCACTTTCGACCCCACCGCCAGAAGCAACGTATTTTCCATCCAGAGCGCAACACTCTTATAGCCGCAGAAGTTGACAAGCTCCTCGAGGCCCAATTCATCAAAAATGTGGACTACCCTAGATGGTT